GTTGTTTCTCTTGACATTCCAGATGGCAAAGAGATCTATTCAACACACGCTGACAGGGTCTTATCTTCAGTTAACAGAATGGATATGAGTCTTCTTCAACCTTGTACCCACGAAGAAGCGGACACCCGTTTGATGATTCATACACTTGATGCTAATTGTTGTGGCCATYGAAAGATAAAGATTAGAAGTAACGACACAGATGTAGTTGTGCTCGCAATATCAGTTGTAAATTCTCTTCAGGTAGATGGATTATGGATCACCTTTGGTTCAGGAAAGCATCTTTGCAACATTCCTGTGCATTCCATCGCATCTATATTAGGCCCAGGAAAAGCATCAGTATTGCCTATGTTTCACGCCATTACCGGGTGTGATACTGTCTCTTTTTTTGGTGGCCGCGGAAAGAAGACAGCATGGGACGTGTGGAACGTGTTTACAGACCTGACACCAGCTCTGCAAACTCTCAAAGAATCTCCTGAAGATGAAGGATCTATTGCTAAAGTTGAACGTTTTGTCGTTCTTTTGTACGACCGCACCAGTAACATCAAGACAGTTAATCAAGCAAGGCAAGAGTTATTTTCAAAGAAGGCAAGGAACCTCGACAATATCCCTCCCACACAAGCTGCACTGTTACAGCATATCAATAGAGCTATATTTCAAGGAATTCATATTTGGGGCCARACACTTCTGAAGCAACCAGTTTTACCCAGTCCTTCAGAATGGGGATGGCAGAAAGATGGCAGTTCATGGGCTCCATATTGGACGACTCTTCCTCAAGCAAAGGAAAGTTGCTACGAGCTTATTCGATGCGGATGCAAGACTGCTTGCAAAGGACGGTGTAAGTGTAAAAATGCTAATTTGGTTTGTACAGGCTTATGTGGTTGCGGAGGAAGCTGTACAAAGAGAGATGAGTAACCAAGTGGACAGAAATTTCATGAGCAAACAATGAATGATATTTAATCCTGAAACATTTTAATTATTCATGCRGTATAAATTGTTTTATATATGACTTAAAGTTTTTAGTATTTCCGTTTAATCAAAACAAAGATGATGTCAATTGGTCTAAAAAAGCCACAAAAATAGGAACTTTTTGATTTTTCGACACAGGGATCCCAAGCTAAAGTCGATTTTTTTTAAACGATCACGTGATCGTGATTATTCAACTCAAAGCAAGTGAAATTGCTCACTTGACACAAATTCGATGTTTAGTGGTGGAAGTATCTCAAAACTGTCGTATTTTAGGGTGTTTTTATGTTGTAGCCTCGTTTCCATGTCGGAAATTCCAGGCATRCCCATTCCTGCTGTCCCCAAGCGAATTTCGCTTGGCCCCATATCAAAAAATTTTTGTCCCAGGGAGGTTAGCAATCATGCCAAGTTTCATGCTTTTATCATTAAAGTGAACAATTTTTGACGTTAACAKCCGGACTATTAGGGGCTTCAAAAASCTGGTGCTGMGAGACGAAAAASCTTCTGAATGAGGGCAAACGCTATCTAAAAACTGAT